GGGTGAGGGAATAAGTGTGCTAGTGGGGCTGGTACATTGCACTTAACTCCTAGGGTTTCAGAAATTATTTGTGTCGGTTTTTGCAGTTCCTTTGCAATATACTTACGTATTTTAAATCAGTGTTTTTCTCTTGACTTCCTGATGGAGCCTTTCATTTATAGTATTTTTCAGCATTGAAAAATACACAGGGAACAGAGAGACGTTGTCCTTTTCTTCTAATTCAGTAGGTGATTTCAAAAGTCTGGTTAAACAGGGAACTGCCATTCACCCAGAGGAATGTCAGTGTTTGGGGAACCAGTCCTGCACCCAGAAATCTCCCAATGACTGTTTGATGAGTTAGTTTATTTTCTCCCCTGTGGTCTGTCTCCCACCCTGAAGATAAAAGGCAGAGTAATGGAGTTCTCCATTCTCCGACTCAGCACGGCTGGCCGTGGCCTGTGCTGCTTAGAGGAATTTGCTTTTACACTTGAACAGGGTCGTAAGCTTGTAGAAGGTAAACCACTCCGACCAGCCCCCCCCCCCCGAAAAGCAGATAAATGTTGGCACAGAAGATGTTTCCAATAAATACTTTGTGGGAGTATCTTGAAAATAGTCATGTGTTCTGAGCATTTCCAATCTTGGAAGTAAATTTCAGGTGGCACTGCTGTATTTAATCTCTAGTCTGCACATTCACTGAAAGATTTGCAGAACATCTTTTAAATTAACAGAAAACTTAGCAAAATGGTTCCTCCACTCATTAAAAACATCATGTGAGATGTTCACCAATAAAACAGGAAGCGGAGTGGGTTTTGTGAGACCAGAAATTATCTCACTGATTGACTACTTCAGATAGACAATGAAAAACTTGCATTCTGAGACGCCTGGATGGCTCAGTTGGCTAAGCGTCCGACTCTTGATTTTGGCTCAGGTCATGATCTCACGGTTTGTGAGTTCGAGCCCCATGTCAGGTTCTGTGCTATCAGCTTCGGATACTCTCTCCCACTTTCTCTGTCCCTCGCCTGCTAGTTCTCTCCCTCTCTCTCTCTCTCAAAATAAACGTTTAAAAAAAGGAAAACTTAGACTTTACTAATAAATTGAGAAGTTAGTACGATAAAAGATTTGCAATACAAAGAATATAGATGTTTAGAAAGTATTTTAATTGTATTATAGTCCTTGAGTGTATGTATACATGCATATATATGTGGCGGGGACATTTGGCATAATTCACCTAAGAACTAAAGCTATCTTCCCAAGAAGTACTTGCTGATTGCATTTCCTGGGCAAAGAAAATAGAAACTAGTGATTTTTGGAAATATTGAAATATGATCAAGTAAAACTTTTTTCTACTTTATGATGATTATTATTTGAGAGAGAGAGAGAGAATCCCAAGCAAGCTCCACGTTCCATGTGGAACTCAACCCGGGACTGGATCCCAGGACTCTGGGATCATGACCTGAGCAGAAATCAAGATTCTCCCCTTCCGACCCTCCCCTGCTCACTCGGGCTCTCTCTATTTCTCTCTCAAAATGAATAAACATTTTTTTTTTAAGAAAAAATAGGGGAAAAAAAAAGATTTGTTTTCATTTCATAGCTATTTAGTAGAAGACTCATCATTGAGACCCTTGTGCAAAAGAGCTACGGACAAAGCAGTATTCCCAGCTGCTTTAGGTTGATGCCTCTGTTGCTTGGATCTTATTTCCTTAAATTCTTTACAATGCTTAATGACTTTTAACAATGTTTATTTATTTTGAGAAAGAGAGAGAATCCCAAGCAGGCTCCCCACGGTCAGCACAGAGCCCTCCCGACACAGGACCCCGTTCCACCAACCGTGAGATCGTGAAGCAAGCCGAAACCCACAGTTGGACGTTTAACCGATTAAGCCCCCCGGGCGCCTCAAATTCCTAGTGAC